GAGAGAGAGAGAGAGAGAGAGAGAGAGAGAGAGAGAGAGAGAGAGAGAGAGGGAGAGAGAGAGAGAGAGAAACACACACATGCTGACCCGTATTGATTTTGGGCTGATTGCCAGTTGTTCTGATCTGATTAGGTCCTTCTAGGGAAGGTTTACTGTCACTTTGAGATCTTCAACGACTGTCTTGAAACTAAAGCATCAAGTATCACCTAAAGGTGTAAGCTGTTCAGCAGGATGCCAAAATGCACAGCCATGCAGGCTAAAGCATTGCACAGATGTACTTGTATACACTCATGTACGCCCTTTCGCCAGTACTCACTCGTTGTGATCGCACACGAAGGCAGGGACACGCGCACACATACACAGACATACACAGACATACACACACATACACACACATACACACACATATACACACATACACACATACACACACATACACACATACACATACACACACACATACACACACATACACACATACACACACACACTGACGCACACATTAAAACATACACACATATAACATGCACATGCACATGTACACGCACACGCGCGCACACACACACTCACACACACACACACACATACACACACACACACACACACACACACACACACACACACACACACACATACACACACTCAATGTCACTTTACTGTGAAAGATAACACGTACTCCTACGAATGCTAATGTAATGCAATCTCATTATTATTATTGTTAACTACAAAATATTTGCATACAAACATGCTCAAGTACACGTATATAAGATGTTTTATATACACACAACATATATACCCATACAACGCGCTCATATGACCTTATGCAGTTGCGAGCGGCGTAAAACTCTTGCTAAAGCAACAAAAAAAAACCCCTCACAATTACACACACATACACACAAACACACATACACAAACACAAACACACATACTCACACAAACAAACACACTTACACACACACACTTACACACACACACTTACACACACACACACACACACACACACACACACACACACACACCTATGTGTACAGATACATACGTACACCAAGACATGTGTGCGCCCACATACACACACACATACACATACATACACACAAGCGCACACACACATGTATACGCACACAAACCTCTCTCTCTCTCTCTCTCTCTTATTCTCTCTCTCTCATTCTCTCTCTCACACACCCACACACGCACACACACACACACACACATACATACACACACACACACACACACACACACTAACACACA